GCGTTCGTCTTGAATGACCTCCTACACCATCCATCACAATGCACGCAGTGCTGCACGAAACACTCACCAGCCAGGCGCTTCATTCTTCATCTCGTCTGACACTAAGGCAATGTGCTTTACTATTTCAGTAGCTCAAACTGAATTTAAAGTTGGATTCTATTTGAACGGGCATCTATTATGACCATCGGCTGTTTCTGGGAGCTTGCAGTAAATAAGTTCATAGTATTGCCTACATTGGAAACGGAAATGGTAATTTCGAACCAACACTTTTTCGTCGTTGTCCACCCTTCTGTTACGGAAAAGTTAGAAATTCTACCATCCAAGCTATATCCTTTCTTAAACTGTTAAAGGTTGGATCAAGGATTAATAAAGAAAATTTGGCTTTGACTTGGCCCAAAGGCTAGTCCTTACAAACGACGACAAGCTGAATAACAAAGTGCCCGCCACTCATGCCATTGGTCACATGAACACGGGATTACAATTTAAAAAAAAATTAAGTGCAATTACAGACGGTGAAAACCAGAATGCGACCACATCTCCTGAATGCTATTCCAAAATGTCGTTATATTTTGTGTACCCACAGAATTGTGCTGTTTGTGATAGCCAATCAAAATCGTCCCATCCGAGTTAGCATAAGGCTTACTTAAAGAAGTAAGATGTGTGACCTGTAAGCACCGGCTATGTCAAAGCACCAATAGAAAACTCATGGTGCTTGCGATGCCACCTTAATTTGTAACTCTCCTTGCGCCGATTTTCCAAGCACAATGATGAGAAGCATTTTGCTGCTTTGAAAATATTCCATAATAAAAAGGTTAGAATGCGATTTGTTTTAGCCCTTCTTTCCTTCCACTTTTGTAGCACGGCATGGAAAATAATGCGTGGACTAGAAGGAACCGATTAAGTTAAGAAAAGGAAAATTGGATAGAAACAGGCTAGATGCATCATTGCACAGAGTGGAGGACGACCTCTGTAGACGTGAGACTGAAGTACAGAGAGAGGAGTTAATGATGTCCTCTTTTGAAGTGCCGTAAAAGTGAAACCGTACACGATTTTTCATGTCTTGTACTGGTGCTTGACGATAGTGCATTATCAAATTGATGATGGGGAATGAGCCTACGACGTGGTTAGGGAGGGTGTGTTGGCTAGCAGGTACCCGTTTAGTGGTAGGTGTTCAAAGTTTGGATCAAGTTGCCACCTCAGTGGGAAGTTGAATACCGCCTTGGATCCTGAGTTGCAAATGTGTTGAGGCATAATTAAATTGTCCTACTTACTATTTGTAAGTAGTTGTTGTTACGCACGCCAATTCCATGCCCTTCGAAGTGCAGTGGCGCCTTAATCTCTTCCTTTTCATTTTGCAAAATGCATTATTTCAGAACTTGAAAATACCCTACTTTCCAGTCAAGTGTGAATTATAAGGAAGTTCCTCCGCAAAACTAGGACAATGTCTTTTAGAAAACACTGCATTACCATAAAGAGGAATGGCATTGCGTGAAACCAAATGAAGTAATTAGATGTAAGTGTCAAAAGGTAAAAATTCATCAATAAACAGCATGCAGCTGTATGTCTTTTTGCGCAGTCGTCTACTACTGCCTCACTTGCACTAGTTCCTGCTCGTCCTCGTCGAAAACTGCAGTTGCCTGAATATATAGTGTGAAGTTTCCTGTTGTTGAATAGGGAGCTACCGAACTGATACTTTTACCTTGACCTTTGGCATTACTAGAACACATTCCGAATTAAGAATGAATGTTACTGTGTATACTGCCTTATTAACTTGTTTTCTCTTGCCACTCTAATCTGTAAACGAGGCAAGTTTCTCCCTGAAACCTTGAATGACGAGTGGTAGATACTTTCAGCCTGTACGTGAGAAAGCAGACGCGATTTCGTGCAAAAGTTTTACATGTTTGAACATGACAAAGAGTAGCTAACAAATGACTTCGAGAATGTAAATTGGAAAGTGAGTCGGGTTAGGACCGAAAGGGGAGGTTGAGTCACTTGTTCCACACCCAATTGATAGTCCTACACCCATATTCCACGCGATTGCTTATGCTTACAACAACAGCAACAACAAAATCGCAACAACGAATGAAATCTACAAGACATAAAGGTAATTATAAAAGACTTATCCTCTTTAAAACTCTTAATGGATTGCAAAGATCAAATTCTGAACTACCGTGCAGAAGTTGACATTTGAGGAGGGAGATTGAGTCGCTGGCGACTGGGGATAGCTCTGGTTCTTGGTATTCTTGCCGGTACTTCTGTAACTTTGTCTATTTCTCCATGCCAGTCTCCCTCGTCCTCGTCGTCGGCATCGTAGTTGTTTTCTCCATACTCCACCTGCCATGACGTTACCCTCATCCTCATCTGACGGTGTTGCGATGTTCCACCGACCATCTTTCATGATGCATAGGTGTGTTTAATGCAATGAACACTTGCTAAAAGAACTCAGCTGCACTCATGTTGAAAACGCTTAATTTGAAAATAATTAAGGTGTTTGTTTAATGTTTAAGCTTATTGCTTATTTAAAACTGGGCGAGTATGATACTACTTATATGCCTTCAGTCCACTTGATGACTGACTTGAGCTGGCCTTGTTTCGCAATTTTAAACTAGACCTGATTTTAAAGTTAGTAAAGAGACCCGTCTTGTCATTAGAAATTATTCATCTTGTGAAAATGATGTGGTTAAATGGCTGAAAATTTCCTAACCTATGTAGCAAAGGATGTTTGAGAGCTAAAGGCACTATTAAAAATACATGTTAAGCACGGCATTCCAACCATCCTACTCAGCCCTTGGGGACCAAAAGCATGTTACTGTTTGCCCTTATGATCTATCATTCAATGCGACAGTTCTCGTCACAATGGTGTACACTGTGTCATAAAAATTGTCCATATCTATTCTTCTCCCCTTTCTCCTTTTATAAGGGATGCGGTCTACGCCTGACTCTACTGCCAAAGCAAGCAGTCGTTGCTCTAGAGAATTAAAAATGAGGCACGTTCACTGTCCTCACTTTCATTGATACCAAAGTACATGGCCATGACCTTCTAGCATCGCATGTTCGACCAACAGACTGAGCGTAGGTTAAAACCCCAGCAGGGAAATCCCTTTAGGCACCTCATGGTGATAATAAGTGCCAGCTATAGCAGCCTGCTCGACAAGACGATACATTTTAGCTCTCCCGTGCATTTCGTTTTTTGTATTACAGCTTTTGGGGTGAGCTGAGTTGCCATCGCATTCCGTTCACCTCTTCTTTTCACCTATCCTTTTACCGTTTTGGGTGTTAGTACTTCACCAATGCCTCGTACAGCAGCCTCCTCGATGTAATGCGTTAGGAAGGAGGAGGAAATAAAGGTGTCATCATCATTTCTGCCGAATATTTTGTGCGCCTAATGTTATTGTGAGTCACGTGACTTTCTGTTTTCCACGGGATGGACGGTGATAGCGTCTAAAGGACTGGAATTCAGTGCTGGTGACGAGGATGTATGAAAGACATCTGTGATTGAGGTGTCTAATTAGCTCCCCAAGGCGTCGATTGTATCATTCGCTTCACTGTCTTTATCGTCTATTTAAACCCTTACTCCCAGAGTAGGTTTTGCACCCGCAAGCTGCCAGAGCTCAGTCTAATTGTCCTTCTCTCATGCCACTGATGCAACACACTTTTAGCGCATCTTTCTGTAATCCAGAGAACCTATGAATGGTCCACTTTACTCCCAACTTTAAAAAATTCTGCCACTGGGTATCTTAATGTGATGAAATTTATGATTTCCGTGCTACCGTGAGAGTTTCATTTCGCTGATGGCTCAAGTGACCATCGCTGAGTGCTCTTCTCGCCGACCTCCAATCACATTTGCAGCCTGAACACCTTGAAATTGACCACATCTTTAGCTGTGGTGGAGAGGAGGAGTCTAACAGCACTCGTCAAGTCTCCTCTTCAAGTAAAAACATTAACAATAAGCTTTCAAGGGAATCACCATCGCGTTTATTTTACGCCATTAGACCTTCGCCCAATCACAACTCCAACCTGCCAGATGAAATTGCTTCCAGTATGGTGGTCTGAATTTACTTCTCTTGCATGAGTCCTCAGAACAAAATACTCCGGTGGATAAAATTTGGCTGTACAATGCAAACGAACTGGTTGGATGTATGAAAACGCCAAGTGGGATAGAAGGAGGAAAATATTGTTCCAAAGCTCCAGTCCACCTATGTGGTTAGCGAGATGCATTACAGCAAATTAAGTAGTTTAAGGGAGATTATTTATGCTAAAAAATGCCATGATCAACACTTTTATATCCAGGCATTTCCTTCTACCTCCTCCTACCTCTTCTCTATGTCTACTGTCGAGTCACCTTAAGTTGGTGTTTCATTTTAGACGCTTAAATAATTAAGTAGTATTGGTATTAAATGATTGGATGAGTTGAAAAGGCCTCTTATTGCTTCACTGACTACTCGGAGGTCACTACCACTCCTCCATTCAGACTTCAGAAGATGCTTTGGAAGCATTTACCGACCACGTGTTAAGGCGGTACCAAGTCTTTTCGGTGTTGTGACTAGTCATTGTGATTGCACATGTCAAGTTTACTTCCTTCTTTCTCCTTATGCGCAAAATACGTGCCTCTGAAATCTTATCTTTCTTCGTATTCCAGTATCAAAGTGTGACACAACAGACAACTTTTAATGAAGAACACGGCAAATCACAGCGTATGGAATTGGCTGAATACGGACTTCGTGCGACAATGACCGACAACCAAGACGCGCATGACAGATTGCTCTGTAGGTGTTTCTCAAACACATCAATACTTCACTCAGAACCTTTGAGGCTGAGGAGAATTTAGTGCTCCACTAGAATACTCAGAAACTCCTCACTTACTCCCCCGATTAAAGAATTTCAAGCGTCAGCAATAAATTCATAACCTTTAACTTTACTGGCAATAAGCTTGACTAAACACAGGACAAATAAAGCAAGGCTGCAAATACATTAGCAGCCGAATAGGGTCGTGACAAATGTCATAGGTGAGACGATGAAGGAAAAGCACTGCTGTGCGAAGATTTCAAGGGAGGTATGTTGACCCATGTAGGATAGTAGACTGAAGGAATAGGAAAGACGATCTGTTTTTCTCATCACGACAACAATAAAGGAGTGAAAGGGACAAATCTCGACTTACGCACGACTGTAATTGTGTATCCATCGAACGTATGACCGTTCATACCTGCTACAGCTGCCCTTCCGCTTGCATAGGTGTAGTACCGAATAATGGCTACGAGATGAAAAGTCAAAATTAATACATCCACTTAACTTAAAGTGTTTGAGTGATAAAATTACCACAGGACTGTTCATCTACACGAGCCAAATTAGTCTCCACAAAGTAGTCCGACATTTCTCCATACGGTGCGAAGTAATAATGAAGTTGTCGATGCGTGAATCCCGGCGGAAGGTTCCAAATAAAGACGCAGTACATTTCTCCATCTCCAAGCACTGGATCCGTAAGGGATAAATCCGCGATCTTTGGAATTACCACATTCAATTCTAGCAACAAAAAAGACCGATGGCACTTTGTACTGGGCACTAATCATGCGTTTATTGTTTGAAAAACACCTTTTTTAAGGCTGACAATAAGTCGGAGGGAGGTTTTTGCGATACAGGAAGCCAATTTTATGGAATTGTAAGTCACTTACCTGTCAACTCACAATCACTTTGAGGTGGCAGTTTACCAGAATGCTGTGCCTCGGTCATTTCCACGCAGTACCCAAGGTAGGGACGAGAGAGGAATTGCTTATTAAGCACCAATGTTAAGTCAACCATTGCGTCAGCGGATGGAATTTGCTGAGTAGTCGATGTAGCAACAGGTTGTGGAGTGGGTGGACTTGCACCGGGAGGTGGTGAAGAGACAATTGATTCGAGCCATTGTGTGAAATTGGGAAATGGTGCCGAAGGAATCGACCCACCGGCTCCGGGTGGAGGAATTGAGGTTCCTCTTCCTGCTCGTCCTTGTGCTCGTCCGCGTCCAAACGAATCTACAGACATGAGCATGGAATATCATCCATCCCACTTACCTCCTTCCATGGCTGCTAGTCAACGTAAAATGCACGTAAACCGAAATTCTGAGCTGCACTACCTGAAAAGGCAACTCAACAGTGTTTACTTACCACTCGTTTAAACTAAACGATGTAGGATGGAGTTATTATTTTTAAGCAAAAACGTTTCGATCAAACCCCCCTTGGCATAGTTAATAAGCACCTTTATTGTCAGTGGTGAGTAGATTAAAACCAAACACACTGTTAGAAGAAGAGCGCAATGTCAGTTGAAGTAGTTGCCACATTTAGAGGCTTTTCACAAGGCGAAAGAAGGAATTGGACGTTGGTCCAGGCAAACATCATAAGTAACCACTCACTCCTCTCTCCCTTTTAAGCGACGATTCGCCGTGTCTAGGACGGGGTGTTGGAGTGCTCGTCCAACACTCAGATGTAGTGGAGCGAATTTTGATAAGAAACTTTTCCAAATTATTTTACAGCGATGCTGCTTCAGTTGTTAATAGCTTGTCTGTAGAAAATGGGGACAAGGTGAAACCAATTGCAATCTTGTTGTTGTGAAGAGTTTTGTTGATTCTCCCACCTCAGGTACATGCGCTTCCTCCGCACCCCTTAATGTGTCCCGGACCGACACCGATGCTTCTCACCAGACAGAAGAAGGGGCTGAGTCTTGGCTTGGCCCGAGGGCCGCTCCACGCGTACAAGAGCAAGACGGGCTCCAAAGTCAACCGTCAGTGTCACCAAAATGCTAAATGCTGGATTGTAGCAGGCAAACCGTTGCCTGTTATTCTTCCGACAATTAGACCACCACATCGAGCATCACTCGGGTCATAAGGTGAAAATTTATTCGGTCAAGTGTGTTACTGATGGTCGGTTTGACTTTGGATTTGCTTCAGACTACAGTGGCTGATTTGTCAACCTTGTCGAAGCCTGGAATACACGTATTTAAAGTTTACTTAATGCCGACCTAAACTTAATGCCAAATTTCCATGTGAATGAGTAGCATGTGATTAAAGGAAAGAAGTTGTAAATGTGAAGAACGTCAGCGATCATCAACTACTGCGTTTTTTTTTCACAAATAAGCTTGATAAAGTCGAAACTACATTGTCATGGAGTGGCTCGGATTGCTTCGTTTCGGAGCTTCCCTTGCAATAGCCACGCACAGACGGCGGCGGTGACATTGCGATCGACTTTGTTGTCTACTAATATTTCGATATTCAGGCCCAAAGGTTAGCAAAAGTCACCGCCCATCATTTATACCTTCAGGTGAAATGTAACTTTGGATGAATTTAAAACTGCTGAGAAAGGCCAAGTGCCCTGCATTGTTCTCAGTGGAGCTAGTGACTAGTGCGACTGATTCGCGGGTGTTTTACTGCAACAAAACCTCATCCTAATAATGCCATACTCCCGCCTCATTCCTTTTTGTCCTAAAAAAAGCATTCATTTAGTTAAGTAATGTACCTTTCACCAAATATACGTCAGATTTCCGAACACAATGCAGCCTAGCCTGAGTCCCGACTGCAAATGGACTTGTCATCTGGATGCTTTATTTGATGAAATGAACGTAGGTGAATAAACGTGTGATTTTTAAATCAGAGGAAAGGAAGCTCCACATTGCAAACTACAAATGTTATCATTCTGTTGGGAAGAAATTTGATCAAAATCAATTAGAAGAGGGAGGATGAGCGGAATACGCGAGGTTAACAAAAAGGGATGTGTTAAACGGTCGATTTGGCTGCTTTGTCCATGCACGTGGTTGATTTCAGTGTTCAACTTCTTGTTACTCTTCTCATGACTCCCATCTTTTTGCCTGTTATAAAGATGCGCAACCTAGCTTGTAGTATCTACACCCTAGCTGTTAAGTTCTGCTTGCCGCTGAAGTCAGTATAATGCCCCTAGGGGCACAAGTTTTAATGATAAGAGGAGAGCAAAGGCCTAAACATTCCCACAGCACACAGATTTCGTAAGCCAGGCACCGATATAACTGAAGATTACGGTGACGCGATAGGGGGTCCACCTGAAAGAAGAAGGGTCACGGGATCCCCTCCCACTCCATTGTAGCACTAGTAGCCATTTATTCCCTCGAGCTAGTCACCTTTAACCCTTCAATGAAAAAAATCTTTGAACACCTTCCACTGGAGATGCCAAAGCCCCATCACCAACAAGGTTCAGATACATGTGGAAACGCTACCAAAGGGAATGCGGCACGTGGGCACAGGCATGCCGCCCTACAGGTTAGATGATAATGTTAACGCAATGGCACAAAAAGGTTTAGGAGAGAGGAACTTAATTTTCCGCTCCGCAATCATGTGCAAATTGGCATACCCACCCTCAAATAACAAGGATTGTCAACAACCCGCCACCAGCAACGCGGAGGGACGAGTAGGACGAACAAGCACCGATCAAATCCCACCAACACCATGCCAGCAATTCACTACGGACAGACCAACACACATACCCACATCCTGCAAAACTCCCACGAGTATTGCTCCTTCGCGGCCTTGCCTTCACAAAGTCCGAGAAGAAGGTGAAAGACATTGCTCTGACAAGTAGGTATACGATGCAATAGAATGCCAGCACAAATATATTCATAAAAATCATGAAACATAGTGGTTTGGTGTGTGCAAGATGGTGCGCACGACAATGTCCATATCCGCATCCATTACCAAGACGAGTAAATGCTCCTTCTTTCTACCCACTACCTCCATTGTGGCGGCGACGACGACGTATTAAAGGCAAGAATCATGACAGAGGCGCAACATATATTTTCTTTGCAGAGTTACTCCAGCTCTCAACACCTTGTAACGATGCCTCAACGAACCTAACCAACACTGTGTCTGCAAGGTGAGTGGACGTCCAGCAAGAAGATTTGACACACTCGCTGTCTCACATTTGGCTCGTTATCTACCTACAAAGCAGAACAAGCACGCGTAAAGAAGGAGCAATCCCAATGAACAAGACGCAGCTATGACGCATTCTCACCAAATCTACTTTCACTACGAAAAAGGTATAGTTGTAATAATTAGTACAACGGGAATAGTTTTACTAGCGGACGCTTGAAGAGTGTGACCAGAATTTGCACTGTTTATAGGCCCAGTTTAGCCACATTGAGCGAGGCGAGGCACCGCACAGAACCGCGGGAGACGAGAAGACAAGCAACACGCACGCGCCTTAGTACGAATGAACGAGAAGGCGGCGCCACTTCCCAAGGTTAGGAGCAAAAATAAAAGAAATGCAATAAAAAATATAACAAGTATGTGATAAAACACAACATGTAATTACAAAAAAACCGTAAAAGCGGAACCATGCTAATTTATCAAATAATATATGACTGTATAGACTACATTGATGAAGACTAAAAATTGGGGCTTTGTTATCATGTTTGATAAAAATCTACTACAGCTAAAGCAGATGAGCGTATAGAGGTACAGAACAAAGTGTAATGTATTCCAAAGGTAATATATCTACGTTAAACCCAAACCATGAAAATGAACGATCAAATATAAGAAATGATGCATAAAATTTATTGCCTAGGGTCTGTCAATACTTTAAAGTTGGTGTGGAGAGTTTTGGGAACATTAATACCAAGAGTAATCACCAGGCGCCACTTCTGTTCATTTCGAGGGTCATATGATGCATAACCAGGCAAAACAAACATGTTATACTTTGTTTATTAGGCCATGTGCATATTGGAAGATTACTTTGGCATGTGTTGTGTTATTGTATGCGTAGGCTGGCTTTTGAGCCAGGTTAAAGTCCAACCCTTCTTCTCATCGCAGAATACATGCATTCAACCCAAATCACAGATATCCTCCCGATAACACTGCAATTCAGACGTTATTTATAATTCTATTTGAAATATATTATGTAATTATAAGGATGTTAACTTTGTCAAAGCCTGCCAGACTTCATTTAGGGGAGCATGAAACATTGTAGAAGAGAAAATGAAGATATCGGGGGTCACTAGAAGCAATTTTAAGTAATGCATAAAGGTAGAAGACATTATAATGGGAGAAATGGCACCACCATGGGTCGCCAGTAATTATATTATTTTATATTTGAGGTAAGATGAAGTAATAGTAGGGAAATGACGTCATTTTAGCTCACTGGGCTTTTATGCGATCGTAATCGGGATCAAACAGTGTTATAAAAAGGAAACCGATGAAGTTATTGGTCGGTAGACATAATTTCTGGCAATTTCGACGACCAAATGACGCAATGTTACAAATATGACGAAATCAGAGGTCACCAGACCTGATTTTTGGTAATTCGGAAAATTTGGTGCAGTCATGATGGTTTGCAGAAATAGAAGTGGATATGTGCCGTTAACAAAGGACACTGGGCATTGTTCCTCTTCGACAGGTATGACATTTTACGGCTACGGATGTCACTAGACCTCTTGTTTGCTATATGGGTAGGTCACAGGTCCAATACTAATGCAAATGTGGCTAATACTTTGCCCTCAGACGTCATGAATGTTAAATGGTTGCCCTCGAAGTTTAAGTCGGGTAATGGTTCTGACTTTGTGCCACCAAATCTTTGGAAATCAGTAGGAGGGATTTTCGAATAAACCCTTCAGCTTCCGGTTTTAGAGGAAGTAAAAGAGAATGCGTGTGTAAGTCGGCGATTATTGATTTATCACGAAAGGCAAACCCTTTTCTTCTCCTCTAGGTCCCACTAGTCATCAATCGGCCCTACCACCTTGACCCCGGCACGGACTCTACGACCATTTCTATCCCAACCTCACATCCCCTCACCTTGCCTACTAGTCACGCTTCGCCTCCCACACCCTCCCCCTGTCCTCTATCCATGCTCCCCTAACACCCTTCCATACCACTTAACTGGCCATTACGTCGGCTTACACTCTTCTTCAAACACCACAAATACCATCCTCTACCTCTCTTCCACCCACCACAACCCCTTTTTCCAACCAACTCACCCGTCTCCCCATTTCTCCCAACAAAGGTATCATCGACCTTTGTCCCACCACCGCTTCCAATTTACCTCAGTAATTGCTTACCCACTTTCAACTCATCAACCCTTTGTTTTCTTTATTTCATTCCACTTTATTTCAGCCGTATCTCCACTCACCATTATCATACACGCATTGTGATTGCGCTACTCATAGCAGACTGTCAGTAAACCCTTTGTCCGCATCACTTGTCTACAGTTCCAGATGCTTAGAAGGAGTCGTTTTTTGTACTGCTTAGTTTGTTCTCATTCTTCCACCAGCAAAGGCATCATCCTTTTATCAATACTTTTTGTCCTGTGCCAAGGCTCTTTCCGTTTTATCCTGATTGTTCATTAATTAAAACTTTTTTTTAAAAGAAGATGAATAAGGAGGGAAGAATAAGTTGAGTGCAAATCTCTAATTACGCGAATCGGGACACCTTTGCTTATTTTCAAGAAGACAATGCTTTATTGGTTAGTCCACTTGGTGCAGTGGAGATGGAAAGGGACCGTACCTCAGGAGTAGCGGTCTTCAGTCCATGTGAGGCAATGGGGGAGGAGAATCGGCGTTGGTTCTGCTCCACTGTGAACTAGAAGCACATGCAATGCAAGAACCCCCTTAAACTGTCATTTGCATTCAGCATTGGTATAAAATCATTTGTTTAACCAACCCGTTCCTGTCTTCGAAGCTTCCGAACAGGTCGAGTCCCAACTCTTCTTCCATTCACAGTTCGCAAATGAATGTGTCGCAATTTATGACAGTAAAAGTCCTTCTCTCGCTGTGAAGATAGGCCTTGTACTGCAGTCTGCCAGTTATTAGGTGAAATTGTGGGTCGCTGCTGTTGTTCACCTTCAATTACGATTCGAGGATAGGCCCAAGATCCAGCCACAGGATTTGTCCACTTTGGAGACACGTCCGATGCCGTCTCCATGATGCAAGTGGATTCTGCTGCTGTGTCGGTCGTTTGCCCTTCCTCAGATTGTCGCCTCCCCTCGCAACTTTTCAACATGGCATGGCTAGGCTAGAACATGCAAAAATAACACTATCAAATGTAAGGTTTAAATGATTCCTTCCTGCACTCTGCTCACCACCACAATTTTTCATATGTATTGTGTTGGGGACTCCGTTCAAGGCGAATTCTAGGCACACAACCGCAACGTCCAAAATGATTAAGAAATTGTGAAGAATGGTTTAGTAAAATTAGCCTACTAGTGTTACTAATTTTGAATGAAACGTATGCATTTTTTTTCTCGCCGATTTTTCAATCATGCTGTACGTGTTGGAAAGAGAGGCTTTACTCCGTTTTGGCTCCAAGGTGGTTACCAAATTAATGGCAAGGAACTTTCAGTCTAAGTAATCCTATCTAATATAATAGGGTCTTGTGAAGATCTCTGCAAAAAAATTACTATTGAAATTCCGCCCCATTTATTAGGGTTATGGGCTCTCATTAGCCGCTTAGGAGGTGGATATCACACCTGTATCCCCCAAGGTGAGGCAAAAGCCACGCAGTGCAATTTAATGCAAGTCTATACAAACAGCTTCTCTCAGCCTGGTGAGCAGACGAAAGCAAATTCCGAATTCCATGCTGAGCACCTTTATAGGGAACAGGCAAGAAGCAACTAAGAATGCGATCACGTGCGTGAGGACAGTGAGGAGTCTCTCACCCGTTGATATCTCCTATCCGGTCCATTTGCATTCCAACCCCCACCCTTCCTGTATCTAATGCCAAATAAATCATCTGCAACCAACCCTCTTGAAGCCCGCGGTTCAAGAGCAGTAGAGTAGGCTAGAAGTCCCTACACAGGTGGCAGCCGTGGCTTTTATTGGAGCCCTTAAGGATTTAACAAACACACAAACCAATGGCAGCATTTTGCTGGGAGTAGCAATTATCTCTATAGATCGTATTAAGAAAAAAGAGAAAATGGGCGTAATTCTGGCTGCAGAAGAAAATGGCCCAAAGCAGAGATACTCCTCAATGCATTCGAAGCATAGAACTTCTTTTCAAGGTCCTAATTTATGAGCGATTTTGGTAAAAAACGTTGGCACGGCTGCTGCTTTAACATTAGCAAGTTGCAGTTGAGTGCGGACAGCACTGACAGTTGTAGACTGTCTCGCCCAAACCGCAAAATTTATTTAAGTCTACTGACTTGTGCAAGAAAGCAATCCATATACATGCAACCTTCGAATCTCTCGAGGAACAAAATTTAAGTTCTGGTTTTAAATATAATTAAAAGTTTAATTTTGAGTTATTGATTTGACTAGCTTAGAGTTCTTTGAGTGTGCTCGCTGTTCTTGAACCGATTTAAGTTCTCAAGGTAAGACCGGCGGGGGTTTGCGTTTTTAGGTGTCTTGGTGACAGTCGGAGTTGTTCATGGGCATTTTCCTCAAGAAGTCTATAAATCAAGGGCTGCTCTGGCTCAAGAGTGAGGTGCACCTCTAAGCGTGGATAATTGACCTCATCGAGACGGACAATTGGCGCATTAGCGTCACTCGGCCTATTAATTACTACCACGCAGAGCGTGGGGACCTCCCTCAAAATTATAACCTTTCAAATCCCCTAACTCTTTAGTCGGATGGCAGAAGGTTAGCGTTATTTTTTATCCTATCACCTACTACAGGCGAGTTAAGAAAGGCCATCATGTTTTTTTGGAAGGCCTCCCAGGGGTGGAAAATGGGCTGCTTCAGACTCTCCTCTCCATTGGGAAGGTGTCCAAACAGTTGGACTTTGCCAAATCTTGTCAAATTAATAAATTTTGGGGGGATGAATAGGCTTTTTTGGCTAGCTTTGTCGTACCAGCATGTGTCGGTCCATGTGGTGCACTCTTACGCCAAAAATTGGCGCAGCAGACTGTGCTTTTTGAGCTCGGACAAATATTTGCCAACTCCCTTCGAGATCCATGATGAAGGATGGGAAACGGTCTGTTTGCACTTAGGTGGTGGTGGTGGGGGGGGCTAGAGGGGTGGAAGGGAAGAAATGAGCAAGTGGGTATATGTGGAAGTGACATTGCATGTCATCTGTTCGTTTCCTAATAGCACGAGAAGTTGAGTTAGGCAAAGATCAGGATAAATGTTTGTAATATGCGAGGATGTATTTTAAGTAGGCCAGCGTCCGCATGGAATGCTGCGTGGGTGATTTGTGAATCGGCACTTTATTGCCAAGCCTACCTGGAATGTGAGGGGGAGTGGGGGAGATAACTTGACTACGGGGTTGACGGTTTAGTAGAGCACAACGTGAAAAAATGCACATACAAGTGAAGTAAGAAGCAGACTTCGTCTCCTAAAACACTTTACGCATTTACTGAGTAGCTGAGTGAGGATTGCGTGTTGCTGCCCATCGGTTCCACTACTTCACTGTCTATTCATGCAAACACTTATGTGTTGCCAATGTCATCACTTCAATACAAGCATTAATAACTTTTTTATGTGAACTCCACATTGCCCAACGTTTGTACCATTTTGAGGTGCCTTGGGAGCACTGAAGACGCAGCTCCCAATGGATAAAATAGGAAGCGCTATTCCTTCTCAATAACCAAATACAACAAGGCAGCCCTCTAAAAGTGAGAATCACTTTCACTTAACAGTGGCGACATGATAAGGCTGTTGTCTCTTCTATTCTACCGAATGAAGAATGTAGTCCGGACCCTACGGTTTCTCACCAATTCTCGAACTATTTGGTTGGTCAATTTTATGGCTCTGGTGAGAGGTCGCCTAGACGACTCTGTCATCCCATCAACTCGTAAAACCTACTTTCTTCGCCTTTGAACAGGTCACAGGGCAATGCACCACCGTTTTTATCTGTCGTGAGACTAACAAGAGAAAGAAAATTGGGGTTTGAGTAACCTAGCAATTGTAAGAGGCATAATGCTGCTCAAATTGTTTGCTTTCCATTTTCCCAGCAAATCAGAGACACTGTAGGGAGGAACATGGCTCGATAAATTAATCCACCTGCTTCTGTCCGCCCTTCCGGCATGAGCAGTAAGTCCCATTCCATCACCTGGAATAGTTTGAGTAGCTAGTTTTGCTTGATTTGAGTCATCTGATGCATAAAATATGGCAAAAACTGCAGTTCTTACCCTACCGTCTCTGGTCTTCACCACTCCTTCCTCCAAATGCACAGAAAGGCTTGAAGTCGGTTGGTCTATATTGGCTGGTGTTGACTTATCCATTCCATATGCCTCATTCTTCCTCACCTCCTCTTTGAAGGGGTGGTCCGACTCAAAGGAGAAGAGACTTCCCGAAAGTCGCGCTCTCTCCAATGCATCTCTGCGTTTCAGAGCCTTTTCACGTCGCATTTGCTCCTTGTAGTATTCAGCAAAGTTGTTGACAATAATGGGAATGGGTAGAGCCACCACCAAAACTCCACAAATGCAACACGCTGAGCCAATCACTTTGCCAATCGGTGTCTGAGGTAGCATATCACCATATCCCACGGTTGTCATGGTGATAGCAGCCCACCAAAAGGCTGAAGGTATGCTCTTAAACATCTTTCCATTTTCATCTTTTTCAGCAAAATAGACAAGACTGGAGAAGAGTATCACTCCCATGGCAACAAATGTCATCAATAGGCCCAATTCTTTGTAGGATCTGCGAAAAGTGTAGCCGAGGGAGAGGAGACCTGTTGAGTGTCGAGCAAGTTTGAATATGCGTACAATCCTCAAAATACGAAACATTTGTACCACTTTGCGCACTGAACCCAGTGGCTTAAATTTATTCCTTGAGGCCACTTCCACTATGATGAGGTGGACGTAGAAGGGAAAGATGGCGATAAGATCGATGGTGTTTAGGGAGTCCTTAAAGAAACGACACCGATTTGGACAGGCCCACAGACGAATTAAGTACTCCAGGGTGAACCAGGCGATGCAAATGAATTCCACAACCTTAAGATAGGGATTCTCACAGACAATATCGTCCACATTTTCGCCACCGCTCACCTCTTGACACCAGGAGAGAAAGAGGTCCGACGACTTACGCAAATCTGTGATGTTGGGCTGAAATTGTGGCAGAGTGCCAATTGTCAAACTGACAGTTGAAATGATGATAAAGACGATGGAAACCACAGCGAATATCTACAGAACACAAAGTGGAGTAAATTGTCAATTGTGATGGGGGTTTTTTGTGTTGTGTTGTGTTTTGGTTTTTATTTTTTCCTTGGGGTGGAAGGAACACAATCCCTCCACTTGTAATTACTTAGATTTGACAGACTACTGGAAGTGGAGGCTTATCTGCTAATGGCATTGGTGCAGTGTGGGTGGCTAACGATTTCAAAGTGGACTGGGTGGAGGACTTAACACAGCAGATTTCACAAGGAGAACGCTGAGAGGTGGAGAAAGCCTCATGCATTACTTGGAAGGCGATAGCAAATAAAGGCTCTTACCCTAGCAGTCATAGAATAATGCGGCTTTTCAACAATTTGCCATATCTTCAAGCGAGTCTTTGAAATGGAGGTGTTGCCATGCAAGCCCTCCTCATCCTGTAACCATCGCAGTGACAGCTCTTCCTTCCTAATCTCATCTTCAACAACTTCCTTCCGTTGGTGGTAGCGTTGTTGACAACAGGGATGAAGGTAGAGCTCATTGATGCCCCAGTAATCCATGTCATCCTTAAAGGCTACAACACACATATCGTCAACCAAGTGCAATACTCGAGTTCGATAGAAGTTGAGGATTGCGTCAAACGATGTGGCATTTCGATCGAAGAAGAATTCGTTCTTTGCAAGATTGTAATCATCGCACAGAGACATCAATTCTGCATGCGATTTGACACGACACAAACGACCGAGACGTGAGTTGGGAAGTCGAGCCAATGTCTTCCACAACACCTCATGCTGTGATCCACCCACATTTAGTAACACCCTCTTATCCCTGAGGCCAAGTGGAGCGAAGAATTTGCAATCAATCTGACGCAAGAAGTTGTCATCCAAACTTCGTACTGATCCCCGTGACACGTTCCTCACAACTTGTGAATCTGAGTTATGAGGAGGGTTTGGAGCAGTCACCGCACCTTCAAGTGATGCATGAGCTTGACAGTGCTTTAAGCAACATTTTTGTCTACTTTCATCCTCATGGGGCTCATAACGGTGAGATGGCTGGCGCCTCCAGGGTGTGTGAAAATCACAGTCTTCATTGGAGGGGTTCGGCTCCACTTTTACAGCAGAGTCAGGAGTGACAATAGATTCACTCTTTTTGGTGTTGGGGGTATTCAGTGGTGTAGAGGGCCTGTTAACACCAACACGAAAGTGGTCCTTTAAGCTGTCCGAGAGAGTTCTACATATTCCCGCCACAGAGACAATTCTACTGTGTTGTGATTGTTGATTCAACAATTGAGATTCACTGCCATCACAATGATTCAGTAGCCACTGCTTTTCTGGGAATGGTGATTTTCCAGTGGAAGACCAACTTCGCCTGCCAAAATTACGACGTCGTGTTGTGTAGCCAAGCTCATCTTGACAATTAAATGTCGGATAGAGCCTATTGTGATCTCTGTGATTACTACTGTTGCAAAGGCCTGACGTTTTGTTGGTGTCAGCCAGTGATGTCCTATGCAAGTTGAACAGCATCTTCGAATAATCAAATGACGGGCCGTAAGTGGCGGCACGGACAACTCCTGTAGGCAAAAGTCTGCCCACACCTCTCATTGGTCAGTGTAGAGTCAATGGGAAGGCGCGAATGCGTAAACAGACTGTCGGTTGGGACAACTTTCTTTGTAATAAATAGTAAAGAGGTATGCCCATTAATACGGTCACAGGAATGCCAAAAAATGGAGCAGTGGGAAGTTGGGTAATTGATAAACACATTGGTTGCCTTTTTATGCCTTCCGACAGAGGCTAAGGGAAGGGTTGGCGAACAAACCAGTGGGGTAGAAAACGTCTACAAAATCTTTAATTGTGAGCATTTTACTCGCTTTTTAATGGCAAACGAAAGGGCCCGGGCAGCAGTTTAGTCTATGCGTAGCGAAATTGGCCTCAGGTGAGCTTACCAATGTGACCAGCTGGATGAGCTTTGAGCTTAAGGTTATTTTTATCGAAACAAAGCGAGATGCTATCGCCTTTGTACGCCTTTCTAGTCCCCTACCTCTCCCTCTGAGACCGACCTACGCAAGAACACGAATGGAAAAGGTGCGAACAGACGCGTGATGTGCGTAAATCAGGCGGCAGCATTCACATCACCTGCTGCGCCTTTTATGTGGTGACTTTGGACACTAATTGGAGAGAGATGTGGAGAACATAGACTGGTTATTCTTAAGGGTGGGTATAATTAACGTGTTTGTCTATTAATCGCGGAGGTGGGACATATAATAAAAAGAAAAGACCCAAACATGGGAAGTGCTTCTTATTGATTTTTCAGTAGTATAATGAACACAGTGAAAGCCTCCATGGGCGACTTCGTCAATGCAGCGCTCGCAAGCGTCTTGACTACCAAAAGCCTCTCTCTCTATCGCTTGTCTTGCCGGAGTAAAATTAGGCCAGCGGTTCGGTTAGACGACACCGCAGTGATGAGATGGAAAGGGGAGACGACTGGTTCATATCCCCATTTCCTTCGATCCGTCTCTTTTAAGCTAGGCATAAAGCTCCTAGCCATCAGTGGGAAAACCGTTCGGATCACGGAGAGAGACAGAGATGACCTTGGCTTGAGGAAAGGAGGTGTATCATGGACTGGCTCTTGGGGGCAGTAGAGACTACTCGCAGCAATCCAAGAATGCCAATGCATTAAAGCATCGCTACAAGGATGTAGACTTAAAACAGTTCAATTCTTGTCAATTGTGGGCTGAATTACTTGAAGTTGCTGTCCTCAACAGTGGTCGCGCGAGGATTTGGGGCTACGATTCATCAATACTGCTCCCTGAGCACCTCAACGTCTGCACGAGAGTCCGATTTAACTTTATTGTTACGCCTAAGTTATGAATTTCAGATTATCCTTAGCTTTTCATTTCATTGCAAAAGATTCCCTTACTGCCAATAAGGAAGGATAAACCTTCAGTCGAACAAGAGCAAACTCTCCCATGACTTTGATGCATTGTGCAGTCATGACGACCGAAGGTCTAATGACAACAAACATCTTCATAAACGCAAAAAATGGGAGCTCATTAATCAAATTCGCCAATTAATGGTGTAGGCATAAAATACAAGGAATGAGATTGCATGCTACCTCAGTAGGGCCCCTATTTGTTGGAAAAACTCACAGTCAGCATTAAATGGCAGTACGTAGCTAGACTTGACACTTTTGGACCGAGGAATGGGTTATTTTAAAGTGGAATCAATGAATGGTATGTTTGTTTCGCAAATAATTCCAAACACACTGAGGTGTGTTGTCGACTGCAAATAACGCCCACACATTCGCCTTAACAATGGAATGTGTTTGATGTCGATAGAATTGGCTAAACCTGTTTTTGAATGCAGAAACGGTTGGAGAATGGCAAAGACAAAGTTATCGACACAGTATAAAAAGTTTATAAGCCATTGAGGCTTCTTACTTGTAGCTCCACCAGGTGGGTTATGGCAGACAGTAGCAGTGGGCAGCTCCGACCTTTTTTTCGTCCTCTACTGCATCTAACTTCTGTTAGCAGTAAAGCTTGGCAGGATTATTCGATGGTCTACACAAATCAAATATCCTCAATGCAACTCTTACAAAGGTTTGCAGACGTTCGGCAGCCTTTGGAGTTAACCAAGTTCGGCAGACGCGCAGACCGTCTCTTAGTCGAAAGGGTACCGCTTTGCCAAGTCTTGCCCCCTCAGTGGTCATCAGAGAATTTTACGAAGCGAAGACTCAAACTGGGAAAAAATGCAATATTCGTCTCTTTTTTCCAAGTCCCTTTTAGGTACTTAATTTTTCCTGCCTTGTGAGGACTCCCTATCTCCTCAATTGGAGCATTTACTCGGGCGCTATGGAAACAAGAAGCCATTTGTTATAATTTTTGGTATGCCTGTTAATTGGCGTCTTTGTCTGCACGCAGTCGTCGAAATTGAATTGCCCGTTGGTCAGTAATTACTTGTAGGAGGTCTCATCGACTCCCTCGTTCCGCCCCGTCCTGACGGTCAATGTGGCTTTCGAGCCACTAAAATGCCGTCCACCCAAGGCAGGGAGGAGAGAATGTCTCGTTAGTCGAAACGTGCATCCTCATCTCTGTTGCCCTTTTTTTCATCATTGTCTTTGCTTTCCCCAAGTCTCAAGCTTCTCTCCTTCAGTGGGAGGTTGTGTGATAGTACAAATTCCCTTTTTTTCCGCCACGGTGGGATGGTAATTGCAAAAAGTAAAAGGGAAGACGTTGCGCTGCTTCCACTACCCCATAATTCATCGTTAGTGGTGCTATAATTAAGGCAGCATTGATGGATAAGCTGGCGATAATCGTTGGATCCTTTAATTGAAGGGAAAAATGAACAGCTGAGGCTTATAATAAACTTCACAAGGAATTTTACGGTGATTTTAGTTGATTTTATGATTTAAAAGGGATCCCGGAGTAGATGCAGATGTGACATCGGCCTAAGAAACTAGCTGTTAGCATGGGAGGTTGTAGACATCAAGTCAGTCGCTCTTGTTGATTTACAAAGTGCTTGTGACCTCTAAGCCAAGAACTTTTGCCGGTCAGGATCACATTTGTCGATCCGTGCGCAACGTAGTCGGTGTGGTGTTATCACTTAGGCAAACACGATGCTCTCGTCCACCTCTTTACAGGCTCAAATGGAACCATTTGAACAACACCAACTGCCCACAAGCCTCTGGCAAATCTCATTTCACCTTCCACTTCTCACCGTGAAATCAGCAGTGTCACTGTCGGCTGAAGCCTTGGAGACCACATGGGAAGGAAAAGGGCAGCTAGATGACCTCTGCGTTGTTAATGGCCCTCCAGATCAGCTTCACAGGTGGTGAAGCATCTGCATCTCGGTCAACCAGCAGGCTCTGCCTTGTTGGAGAAGTGCGCCTTCTTCAGTCCTTGAGAGGATGCAGTTGACACGCTTTTGATATGAATGAAAACTACTTTTGGAGTCATCCTCCGCTTCCGGCGGGTGGTTGAGCTTCTCTTAACGCGCCCATTTAGCCCTGCCAAATGCCTTCTACCTTATGGGAAGTCGCTGGACGCTACACCACTGGCAGCGATTAGTGAACGTCTCAGTCTCCCCACAGAGTTCACATTCGCGCATCCGCGTATGGATGTCAGCGGTGAAATTACAATCACTGGTCAACAGAGCCTCCCCCCCTTGATTCCTACCTTCAGGTTAACCGTAACTCCTGATCCATTTGGGGAGTTGATGCCTGGTACGGCTTTTTGGTGGTGTTTCTATGCTGCACCAAATTTGTTGTGACAGCTGTAGTGGAAGGTGTACTGAAAGGAGAGAGGCCCCATGGACTGGTCCTCCATGCAGGCAAGAGCACCAATTCTGCTCTCTTCGATCGTCTACAACCCAAGTCTCAGACCGCTATACATAAAACTTCAATTAGACGCCATTAAGATGTGATAATTTTGTAAAAAAAAAAAGAAAACATCGAAACCTGCACTAAGTCTCAAGTCTGACGTTTAACAGCTTTGATAAATAAAAGTCAAAACAATGTGGTTAGATGTGATTTTCTAGGAGAAGGCGAGGAAAAAGGAATATAATCTTGGCACGTGCTGGTCTATGAAACAGCAAGTCTTTCATGACTCGTATTTTTAGACATTAAATTAGTGTCAGAAATAATCTTGAGGTTATTGTCATGGTTTCACTGATGGCTCTTCTTTTGTGCACTTTCTAAAGCAGTGAGGCTGTGATCAGAGCTACAGCTCATCTTTACGTCACCTGCACATTCAATCTTTTGGCGTGATTTTAAATCATGTTTTACAAGGTGTTTATTAATCAAACATAAAAGGATGCCTACAGGCGCCTGAAAGGCATTACCATGATACTTTTCAAATGCCACTGCCATAATCATAGTTGTTAAGCCCTCATGCCTCAAAAAGTATCCTTTTTAATTACCTACATGGTTTTTTTCGCATTCGTCTTAAGGATTTATATGGGCTTCGTCCCCTTTATTCACTATATTTGCACTTTTGAGCTGTTGTCAAGCTTGTGCCACGTCTGACAAATCTCTGGCCTCTGATTGGCGGATTGAGACACACAAAGTTATGCTTCGTTGCTATTGGTCCTTAAATTACAACAGAAAATTAATCTCATCCGAGACATTTAAAGCTGACTTTGGCTCTTTACGAGGAAGAGTGACGTTGTCACATGCTCTCGAGGGTAGAGCAAGTGTAAAGATTGAATGAACAGCCAATCAGGCGGCACACTTATGAGCCGACAGCAGCACACCTAACACTTGTGCCTTTCACAGCCATCATAATGCCACCATTTCGATTGTAGACAGGAACACATGCGAGAATTGTTAACTCCGTCTGCACCGATTGTCATTGACCCAGGATCCTACCGATGGCGCGTGGGGTTCGCTAATTCGGATAAACCCAAATCCTCCTTCCTAACTGAAACCTCCATGCTGGAGGGTGTAAGTTCTATCAGGTCTTGTCTCTTGCCTGACAAGTAGATAGATTTACGTCGAGAACACCTTCAAATTGTTTTAATATGATGAAAGGGTTCTGAATGTGACTTATGTGGCCTTAAAGTTGTCAGAAATGACCTTAATAACAATGCAATCGGTGCATTTACTCTCA